TATAGTAATAAATAAATATTGAATATTTTCACATTATAACTTAGTAATCATCTTGTCAGAATTCGAAATTAAAGACAGCTGAAATACTACGAGATAACATCATACGAAACGACAACTTTTTAGAAGCTTCGAGAGCCATAGAGAGAGTAAAACAAGAGCATTTCGCTTTTATACAAAATAGATATGTAATGCGAAAGTTAATCAGGAAACAAGATTTACATAAATACGTAATCTCGAGCGACTCATTTGCTGTATTTAGTGAAGCTTACGGAATGAAGAAGGATTTTCCTTTTTCAAAGAAAGTAAACAATATGTAAGCCATAGTATTGTTTTCGTATTTTACTTATTTTAACCATACTTTGATATATTTATATAAAATTTCTTTTCTTCACAGCGTCCATCGTCTTCTCGAATCTGGAATCGTGGAAAAAATCGATTACTCTGAATATTCCAAAATGATGATACGTTCAAAATTTCAACCTTTAGCAATCGATGATATTATTAGCCCGCTATTATTACTCGTATTGGGTTACATATTGTCTCTTCTGTGCTTAGTTATCGAGATAATTTATACAAAATTAGTTGCTTAATAATTCTGCTGTAAATTTACTTAGTATTATTCACAGTTTTATCGAGTGTTTGCTGATTTATCCTACAAACTTTTTATTGCAGCATAAAGCTTCCAATGCAAAACTTTCTTTCTCTCTTCTTTAAATTTTGTCCATATTAATTTTTTACTAAGTCAGTAATAATGCACACGATTAAGATAGTTCAGGAAATGAACTTTTACCATTATGAAAAACTACAATAAAAATCTTGTATTTCATAGAATTAACACAAAATAAGAACATCGTTTTCTAAATTTTTAAAAAAATTTCAAAACGGAAAAGAAAAATAATTGATAATTCAGCACTCTTCTTGTATTGAAAAATATTGCATGGTGATCTCTTGGAAATGCATACTGATCTTTAGCATTTGGCATTTAAAATATTTTTTTTTCTAGTAAATAAAACAGAATTTACGAAAATCTTTATGTTGATCAACCTTTGACTTAAAAATAATGTAACCTAAAATCAATTATTAAACAAGAGTTTTCATTATTTTGTGCAATCTTGTATTTTCACTACGAATGAAATTAATGCTGTAGTACAATGGTTCCCAATTAGTGGTACGCATATTCCTGTGAGGTACGTGAAATTGCATGAAGGGGTACGCGCAGCAATCTAAAATCGGTCGACTTAAAACTTAAATGCATCAGATGAAGCAATTAAAAAATAATGGGTGGACCATCAAGAATTCGGCAATTTACAACATGTTGTCGAATACACAAATTCTTTTATTTATAACTAAAAATATTCTCAGAATTTCATCAAAAAAAATGTATTTGTGACAATACCTGAATGAAATTCTTACGCAAGAAACAAAAATTGTACAATTAACATAATAATGTTAATTGTACAATTATCATTATTATCATATCAGCGAAGCGGCAATAAATAATTACTACCATTTTGCACTACATATCTCTGCGAGAGCGGATTTTCGGCCATGACATCTAAACATCGTCACCGATGTCAACTCGAAGATGACTTGAGACTGAAGCTGACCAAAAAGCAACCAAATTTTACAAAGTTGTGCAAAGAAAATTGTTCAAATTTGTCGTATTAAAATTAAATAATTTTATGTTATTTTCATTATTATCAGAATAGTATTTTAAAGGTAATAAATGTAAAAAAAAAACTTATTTTATTTATCACTAGCTGTCTGTCACTACCCACAGCTTCTCCAGCATTATATTATATTTTCTCGCAGTAAAATGTAACCTATGTCCATCTCCAACATGTAAGCTATCTTTATTCCAAATTTTATTAAAACCTGTTCAGCCGTTTAGACGTGAAAAGGTAACAGACAAATAGCCATAATTACCTTCAAATTTATAATACTAGTATAGATTAAGCGATTTACTTAGAGATGGCGTAAAATTTAAATTCGGTCCAGAACAACCAGAAGCATTTCAAAAGTTGAAGGACATACTATCACAAAGTCCAGTTCTCTATATTTTCAAGCGTGGTGCTCTATTAGATTTATATACGGATGCAAGTTGCCTCGGGTTCGGAGCGGTTTTGCTACTACAAGCTGACAACGGAAAGTATTACCTGATCGATTATATGAGAAGGAAAACACCATCTCAACAAGAAAAATATAACAGTTACAAGTTAGAAGTACTCGCGGTAATTGAGGAATTGAAAAAATTTCGGAACTATTTGTTGGGTTCCAAATTTAAAATAATTACGGACTGTGCTGCTTTTTAACGAACACTCAGAAAGAAGGAGCTTACTCCAAAATTAGCAAGGTGGTCTTTATTACTTGACTAATTTGACTATGAAATTGTCCGTAGGAAAGGCAGCCATATGAAGCATGTGGATGCACCAAGCCGCAATGCAGTTTTACTAATTACGCGTTCATCCGACTAAATAACAACAAGAATTGTTTCTGCACAGGATACTGATGAGGATATATAAAAGCTCTTAAGGATTCAGCGGGAAAAGGAGAGACAAATGACTATGTACTGAAAAATAATGTTTTATATAAATACGAAAACGTATTAGAACTGTACGTTGTATCCAAATCGATGCAGATTGACATAATCAAACACATACATCGGAAAGGTCATTTTGCAACAGCGAAGACGGAGGATCCTCAAAAATGCAATTTTTATATCCCAAACGCTAGAAAACACATAGAAATGTCATACTGAATTGCGTCGACTGCATACTATATAATAGGAAAAGGGGAAAGGTGAAGGCCTATTAAATCCCATACCAAAAGGAGACAGTCCTTTGAGCACATACCATGTAGATTTTCTCGGACCACTACCCTCAACGAACAAAAACTACCAGCACGTATTAACGGTAGTAGATAGTTTTACTAAGTTCGTGTGGTTTTATCCCGTTAAGTCAACAACTACACGAGATGCTTTGGATAAGCTGAGGATCCAACAAGCGGTATTTGGAAACCCGTCTCGTATTGTCTCGGATCGTAGTGCTTTTACGTCCAAAGAATTTAACGATTATTGCACCAACGAGATGATTGAGCACATTACGATTGCCACAGGTATTCCTAGGGGAAATGGACAGGTAGAACGTATGTATAACACCTTGATCCCCGTTTCGGCAAAAAACTCGCCCAAGAAGACGCTACAAAGTGGTACAAATATGTTTCGGACATCCAAAGAATCATCAACAGTACGCCAACGCGTAGTACGAGATAAACACCTTTTGAAATTTTGGTCGGTACCAAAATGAAAAATAAACAAGATCTAAGAATAAAAGAGATTGCGGAAGAAGAATTTTTAAATTGTACGATGCAAGATAGAGACAAGATTCGAGAAGATGCCAAACAAAACATCTTGAAACTACAGGAGGAAAATCGTAAATCCTACAATAAGAAAAGAATACCAGCTCCCAAATATCAGGTCAACGATCTTGTTGCCATTCAGAGAACTCAGTATGGGACAGGACTCAAACTAAGACCTAAGTTTTTGGACCTTACAAAGTTACCTCGACGATGCCTAGGGACAGATATGCGGTTGAAAAAATTGGTCATCATGAAGGACCCAATGTGTTTGTTACTGCAGCTGACCACATGAAGCCATGGCCCATTGTTCTTGACTGACATCAAGAACTTTTCCAGAACATTTCTAACCATGTCTTTCTTCTTGTGTTTAATGTGTTTTTTGTACAAGTGTTTTTAGTCTTTCGTTAATCTCTCCGAAAAAGGGTGAAACGCGATCTGCCGACGAGAGGTGAAGAAGGAGGCCGGTAGGGGGAGTCGAGTAGAGAGAAGACGACGGTTAAAAAAAAACAAGAAAGAGAACATCACGAGAGAAGCGAGACGACTGTTAAAGAAGAACGCGCGGAAAGACAAAAGACGAAAAAGAAGTCCTACATTTGTTTCCCATAATAATCACAATATTTTTATGTAATTGGTATTCTTTAAAACGTTCCTGTTATCCAAATTGTTCTTATCGCAATTAAAGTTTTTCAAAAACAAAAAAAAAGTCTAACATATATTATGAAGACTTACACAAAATGTATTTATAATTGTTTAATTTAAAAATTTTAACTACACAACTATTGTATTAAATAGATATAAACAATNTTTGTATTCTTTAAAACGTTCCTGTTATCCAAATTGTTCTTATCGCAATTAAAGTTTTTCAAAAACAAAAAAAAAGTCTAACATATATTATGAAGACTTACACAAAATGTATTTATAATTGTTTAATTTAAAAATTTTAACTACACAACTATTGTATTAAATAGATATAAACAATAGGTTTCTAATTGCTCGACCAATAAACAAAGCGGATGTGTCATTTTTTTGTTTACTGTACGTCCCAAGTTACGAGAAATAGAATATAAAACAGTTATTTATAATTTTTCTGTGTTATTAAAATGCACAGCTGTTCTCTAGCTATTCAAACTGTGAACAATGATTTTAATTTTAAAATTTATTTTGATGTCACAATAGACAATTATTATATAAAACCCAAGTATTGTATAAAAGCACGAGATTTGCATTATTCTGAATAACACTATTCTCGATAAAACATTAATTTATAACGAAGTTTATTAATAATGTTCGATTGAAATAACTTACAACTGTGCAACTATTGTAATATTTTTTAGATATGAATACTACAATTGTATATTCCAGCACGGTATCTAAATTTAAAAAAGAAATTATGGCCTACTTCAAAAAATAGTAAGTTTCGTGAATAGCAATATTGAATGTAATAGAATCTGAATTATAATAAAAAAACATTAAAAATATTTAAGACCATGCAATCAATATATTGAAATCATTTTGAGTTATAAACGCATTTCTATCATTTGGTGAAAATTTATAGCGATTTCATTATTGTTTTTCCTTCTGCATGAAGGTCCGTGCAGACCAAGAGAACACATAAACGTCCGAAAGAATATTTCGGACGATTAATGGAAAATGGAACGTGGACTGAAATGGTAGGAAGAGTTACAAGAAAGGTAAGTAAAATAATTATATATTATACTAAATTGAAATATTTATCGTCGCATTAGATAAACTTATTTACGCATTTATAAACAATTTGTTTTTATTTATTACTACACACGATGAAACTTTTATTAATTTATCCAGTATAATATCAAGAAAACCATTCGTATGTAAGAAAAAAATGTAGTGAAATGTTTTTCTTCTATATGCTGATTAATTAAATCTTGCAATTAGATTAATTAAGAGACCGATTTAATAAAGTAACACAATGTAACAGAAAAGCGATCTGATATTATACTTAGTCTAATTTTTTGCTGAGCACGTTCTGTTTAATTAATACAGCTAATAATTCAGCAAATGTTAAATAAGTACGAATTAAATGAAACTTGGTATGATTCTTTAATTAAAATAAATAACCAAACTATTTTTGTATATACAGACAAAATAAAAAATTAATTTTCCACGAAATATTTCAAAATGTTTCATTACACATAAAAAAATTCTTTCATCTTTAGATTAAAATAATAAACGAAAATTAAATTTTTTAGCAACTATAATCGATATTTTAAATTTTCTATATAACTGCTATATAATTTACAAATCGATATAAGTTTATTGCCTGTTTTGAAAGTAATGAATATTTTAAATTAAAAGTAAAAATAAATTATCTTTGCCAGTAGAAAACACAGAGATTTAATATTAAAACTGATTAATTTATTGATTTTAATCTTCAATTCGAAAAGCTTCTGGTAAAAACTTAATAAACCAAGAATAAAAACTGAATTATTGTTTAAAATGAATTATATAAGTAGCAGAAGCTCAGTATAAGTTTTGAGTACTGCACTGCAATCACGAAAACTAACTAGGTACGTGAAATTATCTATATATTTGCCTTATACATTAAAGAATCATATTAATAATTTACGTATTATAGACTATATTAATTGATGTTAATATGTTTTAATATTCTATTAAATTAGTTGATTTATACACTGAAGACGGAGTCGAAATATGACTACGAAATTGACGTTTGTGCTGTTTTTTCTTGCGAACCATTTGTTTACTCACGAAACTTTCGCTGGTAAGTTATATATTTTACAATAGAAATAGAAGATCGAAGCTAATAACAAACAGTTTTGTAATATATTGACTGTATTATTTATTAATTTCTAAAGTTTTAACAGAGAATTTACTATTTTGTTTTATTTTAACTGCATATACCTAATTCCTGTTATGTTGTAAAACTTATATAAAATAGATTTATAATAGGAAAATATGGTATAATAGTGATCTTTTGTTGTTCTATGAATTGTAGTAATTATTCGCGAATATAATTTAAAAATTTAATTAATACGAACTTCGCGAATGTCGCGGTTAATTGAAATCTATTTGAGGGAGAGACATTCTTAAAATTAAATGTCTATGATTTCAAAACATATGAACTGATAGTGAGTTAATTAAAAATATATTTAAATATGAATGTGACTGTAATCAACGAGTAGCATTTGGGCACAAATTATTATAATAATGTAGAAATGACTCGAAATTTAAACAGCTCAGCAACAAGTTACTTAATTTTTTTGGCAAGATTTAGTTGCGCTAACTGTTATCACATTTTATTTTAATAAGTTTTATTTTTAATTATTATAAAACTTCAAACATTTTAGTCCTCATATAAAGGATATGTTTATAAAAAATTGTAAGTGCTAATAACGAGTAAAATCGTCGTTAAGTCTGACTGTACTCCAGATACACAAGATCCCTTTCACATTTCACTTCGTGACGTTAAATTATTGAAATATGATATTATAAATTTCTTAAATACAAAATCCTTTATGCAAAATTTCAGATTATTTCGAAAAATGGCATAGGCGTTTTTAAGCTTCAAACAGAATAAACAAAATCATGCACACACTAACATATATCTATACAGAAAAACTCATGAATAGTTCTTTTTACTTATTTTTGCGTTCTTCGATGTTTCAAGATTCTCTGAGTTTAACACATGTAAAAATATTAAAGGGGAATTTTAAAAATTAAATGAAACGTTATGCTACCTCTCTGATATAATTGTGGGTGCAAAAGTAGGTATGTAGTTGTTATAATGGAGAAAGGCTTACAGTGAAAATATAGGAAGAAAAAACATGCATTTTAATTTACAAATATTTCCGAAGATAAGACGATTTTCAGATAAGACGAGGTATATATTTTGATCAAATTTTTATACTTTTAACATATATCTGCCCTATAAGATGACCCCCAAAGTATTAACGGCCTATCAACTTAGTTTAGATCAGTAATCATCATCTGGATAATAATACTGTATAGCATATACGGAACTATATCCTATTTTTAATTTTTCGAATAAANAATTAATATCGCGGTATACAGGGTTGAGCCTAACATAGGCTAAACAGTAAACAGGAATAATAAAACTAAAATACATTATTACAAATAAACACAATAAATGAGAAAATACAACTAATATATACATTTACATATACCTGCTCCAGATGGCTGTTTACATTGCCGTAAACAGCCATAGGAGCCCCTCTTCCAGTAGAGGATGGCACAGACACAGAAGACTCAGTTGAAGATTTTAATGTTCTTGATGAACTTGATTAGCGCCTCATAAAGTTTCTTGTTGCTAATCAGGCAATCAAAAGTACAGGGCCATGCGATGTTTTCTTCCAAAGCGGCTGAAATTATAGTTTTCCTTTCCTTGTTGTATAGCTGACAGTAGCACAGGATATGCTCGCTGTCCTCCCAGGAGGCAAGGGGGCAGGGACAAAGCCCGTCTCCCTTGTTGAGGAAGCGGGCCAGGTAGCTCCTCAGGTTGCCGTGACCGGTGATAAGCTGTGTGAGTTCGTAGTTAGGGATGAAGTGGTGATATTTCTTCCTGTCAGTGATTGAGGGAAGGAATCTGTGTACCGTCCTTCCGGTGTTACTGTTGTTCCACTGGAATTGCCAGCGGCCAATGAAGTAAGTGTGCAGATTCTTTCTGACCCAGCTTAAGGGGATCTTGTCATACGTACTGTCTTTGAGATTGGTGATTGCTTTTCTAGCTAGCAAGTCCGCCTGCTCATTGCCCTTGATACCAGAGTGGCCCCTTATCCACTTAAGAATAATTGGGGTCCGAAGGGTATCTAAGACACACAGAATATTTTTAATTATTGGAAGTTTGGTATTACCTTTTCTAATTTGGTGTAATGCTACTCTGCTATCAGTGTTTATAATGATTTCACTTCCTTTAAGCTTCCCACTATTGTTGGTGACAAATTCAATGGCTTTCCAAATGGCAAGAGATTCGGCTTGATTGTTCGAACAATAATTCGCCAGCCTGAAATATTTCTGGTAGGTGGTTTTACCCGTTGTTGAGTGAATTACAATAGCACCCCCCGTACCATCGTCTGTGTGGGAACCGTCCGTATAAATATTGATACTATTGCTTGTTTGATTGTAGTTGTCGAGGGAGATTTCATAGTTTTTATTCCTTGCGGGATGTAGGTTTAATGGTGTCGTGATATCCAGCCCCTTTTCTGTGATAAGGGTTGACAGATTAGGAATGACATCTCCTACCACAAAAGGAGCTATCTTTTTGTCATAGTCTTCTTTAGTGATTTTCTTTTCGGCTAGCTTCCTCATATTATAAGAGATATACCTTTCTGCTATAAGTAGGTCCACTGGCATCAGGTTTGCTATCGCCAGGAGCCCGTCAGTCGGGGCTGTCCTATACGCCCTTGCCACATAGATGGCCGCTAGCCTCTGAATTGATAACAATTTACGCTTAATATGAGCGTTTGACACCCTGTATCCCCAAACTTCACAACCGTAGGTGATAATCTGTTGGGTTACCGCCACATAGGTGGCCCTCCTGGCCCTGTAGCTCAGACCCCATTTATTACGGGCGATAGAGGCCATGGCACATGAGACCTTCGTTGCTTTGTCATAAATACTGTATATGTGCTCCTTCCATAGCAGCTTCTGGTCCAGGATCAGCCCAAGGTATCTAATTGCCTTTGTGTGGGGTATCCGCTGATCCATGATCTTGACTGAGGGGGGTTTTTGTAATGGGTTACCTCTGGGGAAGAGCATGCAGCTGCTTTTCTTATAGTTGATCCTAAGATTGACCTTACAGCTCCAGTCATAGACCAGAGTGAGAAGGCCATTCATTTCCTCTTGCAGCTTCTCTTGATTCGGGTGGGACATCACTAAGACTGTATCGTCCGCATACCCTTGTACCATTGCATCCAAAGGCCTGCCCTCCTGAAGGTTAAGTAACCCATTGTAGAGAATGTTCCACAGCAGTGGGTCTCTTACTCACTAAAAGATACACAAATAGCAGTACTGAGTTAAACAATTTCAGCAATTTTCCTTTGAAAATAAATAACTATCCATGAGAAAACCTGAATGGAATATCAGTATTGACAACACATTGATGTTTTTAAACAAATATGTGCCTTGTTTATCCCAACTATGCACATATTTGTCATTTGTTGTTAGACAATAGCTAGTCCAAAAATCTGCATAACAATACTTCTCTAAATTCGTTACTCTCTATTCTCGTTATCTGCAACGTGTAGTTGTACATAGAGTTCAATATAATATTGGCACAGTTTACACATTAGGAAAGATAATTGCTATGCCAAACATAAATGAAATTTTAATAGAGAAATTTGGACATATTTAGAAAAGCGAAACAAAAAGAAGAAAAACACAGGGGTGAGACAAAATAATCCGAACACCAACAAAAGATCACTTTTTTTTATTAATTAAGTATACTCTTTTTTGCAGATAATACATTGGAAATGCGTGGAGGAATAAACAAATATAAATCAGGAATAACATTAAATGTCGATTTTGTACCATTCTTTATATTAATAATCATGTGAGACTAATCGGGGGTAGGATGTAACTAGTTCTTGACACTTTAATCGACTCAAAATTTTGAGGTCCGGTCTCGCTTGTCGAAAGGATGGGTTTTTTTGAGCGGAAGAGTTATAGAGTTAAGGATCGTTAGATCTTATTCACGTAAGGATCTGACACCAATCTATCAATTTATCGCGGATAGATACGCTTTTAAGTAAGGTCGATTTACAGGAATGGAGATGGTAATGTAGGAAGAAACGCACACCAATCCAAGTTTATTAACACTATACCCATTTATTGTAAAACGTATTTACATGGTTATAGATTATTAAGGGTTCGAGAGCACACATCTCTCTTAGGGTTAACATTCCTTATAGGTAATTCATTCCAGGTAGGTAGCTAACAATATTTAATAGTCGTGTCCCTAACCGCGTTTGGAAAGTACTCGAGAGAGAGTAACAATGTTACTATCCTGGTGGATAGTAACATTGTTATCCTGAAGGATTGCGTCGTCATCTTCCCGGTCACTCAAAATATGCAAACTCCGGTATATGGAAACTCAGTACATTAAGATTTTTCTACATTATTACTTTATCACTGAGTACGACTTTCGACAAAAGTTAAATCAAATCGCACTCCAAAATACGTAAACTTTTGCAATGCTTGACTACGGGTGTCACTTAATACCCAGTGATGTTTATGTCAGGACATCAAGGGGTAAACTCTAGACATAAACACCACCGGAAGTGGGAAACACAGTAAAAGTTAATTTTTTTCACCATATCATATATTTTACAAAGTTTTTATGTAACTATGTTTTGTACTCTGAAATACTATATACGCTGTTTCATATTTAGAAGCGTGAATGTTTAAGAGATTTCGCTATAGCAGCATTGTCATTCATACCGGTATAATCTCTAACTACAGATAGGAGATTTTCACTAACACTAATATCCATATGTTACCACTAAAGCTCGAAATCCGTTAATGTGTACATTACCTAGCTAATCTGCAGATTAACTAGGGTGATCCGTTAAAGCTGCGAAAATTATTCCATTTCTCAAATTACCTAGGTAATCTGCGAATTACCTACTAGGCACTCGGTAAAGTGAAAATAAAATCTTTGCTGGAACAACAGCAACGTTTCTTTCTGTACGCTTAAATTAACATAATGTTATTTATTTAATTTTCAATATATAAAGAATCAAGTTAATACAATCAACAAATTAGTTGATTGAATCAATCATCAATCAATTAAAAAAACTTTAATACAAAAATCAAACGGTTTAAAATATTA